ACACTAAATACATTTCCTAGCTGTGTCTCTAAGAAGGCCGAGGAGCAGTGCAACCAGCACACCTACCGCCCAGGTCTTTTTTTTTTTTTTTTAACTCTCACTGAAGTGAGAAAGGTGAATAACTTTGTTTTTCCCTCAGTTTTTTTTTTTTTTTTTTTTTTTTTTTTTGGACTCTCACTCTGTCACCCAGGCTGGAATGCACTGGTATCATCCTGGCTCACTGCAACTTTTGCCTCCCAGGTTCCAGTAATTCTCCTGCCTCAGCCTCCTGACTAGCTGAAACTACAGGTGCCTGCCACCATGCCCACCTAATTTTTGTATTTTTAGTAGAAACAGGGTTTCACCATGTTGGTCCGGCTGGTCTCGAACTCCTGTCCTCAAGTGATCCACCCACCTTGGCCTCCCAAAGTGCTGGGATTACAGGCGTGAGCCACTGCACCTGGCCCCAGATCTTAGTTTCTGAGTGAAAGGAGCTAGGGCTTTCTGGACAAACGACTGATTATAAGGCCAGGGCAAGGTAGGAGGCGCCTAGAACATCTTCTATTGCCTGAAAGTAAGGAAGTAAAATTAATAAACCCAAGGACTCAGCGCTTCCAGTGGACAAAGCTGCAACCACTGAAGCAATAAAACAGATAATGATACAATCAGTTTCTAACCCAAAGAATCAAATAATGAGTTCAGAGTGAGATGAGCGCAACAGCAGCAGAGAGGGGACAAATATTCCTTTCAGAAGAATTCCAAAAGAGGACTGCAGGAGGAATGAGGAAATGGAATATCAGCATGTGAGCACCACAGTGGCAATTGCTGAAGCCAAGATCTGCTGATGGCTGCTAAAATGAGTGGGCAAAACTTTAAGGAGAAATGGGATGTTGGCATGGCCTCACTATACCTCCCCAAATATTGATTAATTACCATGCTGCTTTTAACATATGTCCACAAATGCTTTGATGTTCCTCTCTCCAGGAGGAGACGTTTAACTCCTTCCTCCTTGAGTGGAGCTGGACCTAGTGACTCGCTCCTAACAGACTGAATGTGGAAAAAAAAAACCAGCAGAATCTTTACAGCAGAGAAACCCACAGCCATCAGTTTAACCAGGGGATGGAGATGGACATCCCCAGGGGTGCATCCTGCTCCTCTTGAGTTACCCTAGATGGATGCCTTGTGATGGCGCCTTCCCCTCCGTGGGGTTTTTTTTTTCCAAAACACATAACACCAGACTATTCATGAGAAAATAGCAGACAAACACAAACTGAAGGACATTCCACAGAATGCTCAACCAGCACACCTCAGAACTTCCAGTGTCAGAAAAAGCAAGGAAATACGGAGAAATGGTCTAACTGTCTTAGACTGGAAGAGAGTCGGGAGCCATGATAACTAAATGCAGCTCGGGATCATAGATTGGATTCTGAAACAGAGAAAGGACACTCGGCAAAAACTGCTCACATCCAGATAAAGACTGTATTTAACTCTGTGGTACTAGTGTTGATTTCTTAGTTTGGATAAATGTATCACGGATATGCAGGGGAAACTGGCTGACGGGTAGGGAGGAACTCCCTGTATTCGCCTTACAGTGCTTCCTCAAAATTAAAAGTACTTCAAAATAAAAAGCATTGTGGGGCCGGGCGCGGTGGCTCAAGCCTGTAATCCCAGCACTTTGGGAGGCCGAGGCGGGTGGATCACGAGGTCAAGAGATCGAGACCATCCTGGA